TTCCTGTGTACCGGCTTTGTTTAGAGTTTATGCTCTCTAGTTTTTTGTTTTGTTGTGTTTGAGGAATGTAGTCACATAAACAATTACTATTTAAAATGGAGATAGTGTCATAAACATGGTTACAGATCCATCTGACATTACATGGTCTTAATGTAAATGTACTTAATAAGGTTCTCATGTAGTTCAGGCTGGCCTTGAACTCACTATGTGGCCAAAGATGGCCTTAACCTCAGAAAATCCAGTCTCTGTCTCCCAACGAGGACAGAGCATGTACCACCACGCTCAGTGTCCATGCACCGTAGGCACTAGGCAAGCACTCTACCAACCAAGGTCTATCATCAACCCCTTGGATGTATTTTTCAATTATTATTATTTTCTTTTATATTTCATTTGCTTCTCAGATTCTAAATTCCGTAAGGGGACAATTAAATAGCCAAAGAAAAGCTGTAATCTTAATCAGATATTACTGTTTACCTGTACTTTATTATGTCTTTATTAATAATTTATGAAAAAAAACAGCCAAATAATGAAAGTATCTGAATGTCCTCAAGTACCACAGGTTACATTTTAAGGTTTATTTTCACCAAAGCACTGTGTGGCTTTACTGCACCTGCACTTTGAAGCCGAAGGGCACAAACATTAAATGCTTAGTGAGAGTTTCATAGCAGAGGACAATCAAAAGGTAGGAAGAAACACATCTCAAAGAGCATAGGAACATGTGATGCTCCACCATCACCCAAGGGGCAGGCTTCTCACACAGCAAGAAAGGATAATTTTGTTCCCCACTACCCTAGATGACAATCCTTTACAAACACAATGAATTAGGACAAAATGTTACCTGAAATATTTGTAACGATGCTTTTCATAGTGGGGTGACATGGGTCACAGGAAAACCAAGAATAAGCATCTTCTAAACTAACTTTCCCTCAAGTGTTTCTCTTTCATTTATTGTTTTGGTGGAAGAGAGTGTGGCAGATAACAGCTAAAAGCATTTCTGCACTAACGTATGCATCCAAACCTGCAGTTCCCACACTGCAGACGTCAAAGGAACACCTCTAACTCTTGATGAGCACAGCATTTGGTCCAGGTGTGGTGGTGTGCACCTGCAGTCCTAGCACTGGGGGACTGTGGCGAGGGACCACGAGCGCAGGCCAGCCTGGTCACACGGCAGGCCTGAGGGCAGAGAAGACCCTGCCTCGTGTAAGGTGCACCATTTTACACGAGCAGTATGGCACTGTCAATAGGTCCCCAAGAGACAGGGACACTGGAGCCTTGTACTGTGGCACTACTTAGCTAAACAAAGCACACCTGCAGTACCATCACTCAGAAAGAGGACTGCAGATGAGTGGGTTCACTGAGCAGTACTGCGAACACAGCCTGTCTGAAAGGAGAGATCCTCAGTCTGAAGCCCGACTCCACTTACCAAGCTTAGTTTCCTTTGCTTCCTTCCCTTAGTGTGCTTTCCTCCAGCAGTGGTCACCATCTGGGTGAAGTCAGGCACAGGGCCTGTGCTTACAAAGGGCCATTATTCTAAACATGTCCTACATCAAGGGCTGCTTTTCCTTATCTTAATTTTTATGTATGTGCGAGTTTTACCCCAACATGTCTGTGCACCATGTACATGAAGTACCCATAGAGGTCAGAACAAGGTGTCAGATACCCTGGCACTGGAGTCACAGATGGCTGTGAGCTGCCATGAAGGTGCTGGGAATCGAACCCTGGGTTTCTAGGAGAGCAGCTAGTACTCTTAACTAAAGTCATCTTTCTGGCTGCATGCTTTTTCTTCTTAAATTTCAGACACAGCGTCGTATATGTTGTCCAGGATGGCTTTGAACTCCTGGGTTAAAATGATCCTACCATGACAGGCCCGAGAGGCTGGACTACAGCTGTACGTCACCTGCACTTCCTCAGAAGTGACAGTAAGTGTCTAAACTGGAAGCAAAGCTAAGCCACATGGTCTCCCTCTCCCTGTGCAATTACCAGAGTCCTGTGCTCTTACTTGGCGTTCATCGGGATGACACCTTTTGATCCTACCCCAACAGGAATGTGGTCAAACATAGCTTGGGCAAGTTGTTCCTTCACAGGCTGCACATCACTCTCATCTAAATTGGTTCTTAGCAAGCGGACACCACAGTTAATGTCAAATCCGACACCACCTACAATACACAGAAATTAAGTCAAATATTGGCAAAATAACTGGACCATCAGAGCAATACTTGAAGTTCCTTACTATTAATATGGAGTCAAAAGGATGGGCATTCTTTCAAAGACAAGCGGGTTTAATGTAGCTATCAAAGCGGTTCTCTACTGAGTCAACTCTGCCCACACTGAAATAACGCAAGTAACACACACACTATGGTATTTCACCAACAGTGGGGAATAAGGCAGACAGACAATAGGAGTAACATGCCTCCGTTTCTGTCCCACATCAGAGGTTGATGAACTCTGTTAGTCTTCCCAGTCAGCCTTTCCTGCTGCACATCTTCATTTTTTTTCTAACAATTTCCAATGTTTTGCCTTTTGTGAATCTTAGTTGTACTTTCTCCATCTTTTAAAGCTATTTCAGGAGGCAGAGAGATGGCTAAGTGGTTAGAGCAATGCCTGTTCTTCCAGAGGACCCAGTTTGATCCCCAACACCCACAAGGTAGGTCACAACTACCTCAGTCCCAAGCGATATGTTGTGTCCTCTTCTGGCCTTCCCCAGGTACCGGGAACACCCATGTGCACAGACATACACGCAGGCAAAATATCCATACACATTAAATAAATGAAATTAAAACAAAAGATTATTTCAGCCCTCCCTTCCTAATTTGTGCATTTAAGGCTATAGTATATCTACATACAAAAACGGGATTACCAATTGTGGTGATCTAAATAGGAATAGTCCCCATAGACTCATGTGTTTGAATGCTTGGCCCATAGGTAATGGTACTGTTAGGAGGTGTGGCCTTATTGGAGGAGGGTGTCACTGTGGAGGCAAGACTTTCAATCCTTACATGCTCAAGCTACACCTAGCATGGCACACAGTCTCCTTCTGCTGTCTGTGGATCAAGATGTAGAACTCTCAGCTCCTCCTCCATGTACCTGCCTGCATGCTGCCATGCTTCTTGCCATGATAATAATGGGCTAAATCTCTGAAACTATAAGCCAGCCCCAGGTAAATTGTTTTCCTTTATAAGAGTTGTTATGGTCACGGTGTCTCTTCACAGCAATAAAACCCTAACTAAGACACCAGTTAATTGAAAATTTTTATATCTAAGTATTCTGAAAACTATGTCTCCCAGTTTTATTGAGATGACTGACGAAGAACAACTTTTAAATTAAGTATATGCATGTACCATCAACCACTACAATTAAGCTAGTTAACATATTCATCACTCACACAATTACTCCTCTTTTCCCTGGGAAGAAAACTCAAGACCTGATGTCTCAGAAGATTTCAAGCACATAGATTTCAAGTATGTTACTGTTTCTGTACATTAAGTCTCCAGGACTGTAATTCATCTTAAACTACAATCTAAATCCTTTAAACAACATCTTCCAAATCAGCACTCTCCACCTCCTTCTCTATGTGAGTGGACTGTGGCATTTGTCCTCTCTGTCTAGATTATTTTGACCATGCTGTAGCAGATGATCAGGATCTCCTTTCTTCAAGCTGAATAATATTTCACTCTCATTGCCTCTATCTCCTCATCTCTCAACCAACATTTGGGTTGTTTCATGGCCTGGCTATTGTGAATAAATACTACAGTAACACACAAATGCTGATACCTTTTTGAAATAATAATTTTGGTTCCTCTAGACAAACACTCAAAAGTGGCATGGCTAAATCATATGAAATTTTATTTTTTAAGTTTTGAAAAAAATGTATTCATTTTTATTTCATGTGCAATGGTGTTTTGCTTATGTCTGTGTGAGGGTGTCAGATCCTGCTGTGGGATGTTCTGTGTGGCAAATGTGTTGCTCTGATTGGTTGGCAAATAAAACACTGATTGGCCAGTAGTCAGGCAGGAGGAACTGTGGGCAGGACAAGGAGGAGAATAAAGCTGGGAAGTGGAAGGCTGAGTCAGGGACAGTGCCAGCCGCCACGATGAGAAACAGCATATGAAGATGCCGGTAAGCCACGAGACACGTGGCAAGGTATAGATTTATAGAAATGGATTAATTTAAGCTGTAAGAACAGTAAGCAAGAAGCCTGCCACGGCCATACAGTTTGTAAGCAATATAAGTCTCTGTGTTTACTTGGTTGGGTCTGAGCGGCTGTGGGACTGGCAGGTGAGAGAGATTTGTCCTGACTGTGGGCCAGGCAGGAAAACTCTAGCTACAAGATCCCCTGGAACTGCAGTTACCAATAGCTGTGAGCTGTCATTTGGGTGGTGGGAATTGAACCAAGGTCCTCTGGAAGAGCAGCAAGTGCTCTTAACCACGGAGCCATCTCTACAGCCCCTATTTTTTAATTTTTTAAAAAGAATTTCCATGGTCTGTTCTCTATAATGGTTTCATCAATCCAGTCTCACCAACAGTGTGTATGTCCTTTCCTCAACATCATCCTTTTTTGTTTATGGTATACACAGGTGTGCATCCACCCAGGAGTGCACATGTGGAAGCCAGTACCCAAAGGCCTCCATTGCTCTCTACCTTATTTTCTGAAACAGGGTCTCTCGATGAATCTGAAACTGTATCAGAAAGACTAGTAGCCAGTGAGACCCCAGGATCTGTCTATCTCCCGGCACTGAGGTTACAGATGTACACCACCATGCCTAGTTTTTATTAGGTGCTGAGGATCTGAACTTAGGTCCTTCTATTTGTGCGGCAAGTACCCTGTTCACTGAGCCATCTTCATGCACCCCTAACATTCTCAATCTTTAATGTTTTTTTTTTGTGATCTCTTAAGGTAATGGCAAATGTCAGTCTGAATACTGATGATCTGAACAATCCAGCTAACAAATGTGATACTTGGTGTGTGTGTTCGTATTATAGAATACACACTTCTTTTCTTCTTAAATACAGAATGCTTCATGAATCTGCGTGTCATCCTGGTGCAGGGGCCATGCTAATTAATCTTCTCTGTATGCTCCAATTTTAGTCTGTGTGCTGCTGAAGCAAGCATGAAATGCACGTCTCCAGTGTACACATTTACAACACGGATGACAAGCTAAGCCGTAAGCGGGATTCCAATGTCAAGGCCCTGACGTTGGACAGGGAAGCATCTCTAATCGGGAGGCTCACATATCTGGATCTTTGCTTCCTCTTCCCTTCCATCTCAACATCCAGTGGTGCTCCTGTGCCTTCCACCATGTCTTTAATTCTGTTTGAAACTGCCCAATCTTTCTTACAGTGAAGGCCTAGTCCACCATTGCCAGAGGCGGGACCTGAAGATGAGTCAAAGCTTCCATTTGTCATTTAGACTCTTGGAAAGCAAAACCGCTCCTTCTGCTGAGGAAGGTTTTCAATGATAATCACAGATGGATGGATATACAGAAGGTGATCTATAACTAGAGGTGAATGTGTAAAAACAGATTACGGTGAGATTCCACCTTACCTACTAAATGACTATCATCAAGGAAACAGCAGCAGATGCTGGTGACAATGTGGGGAAAAAGGAACCCTTATTCACTACAGGTGAGAATATAAACTTGTGCCACCACTATGGGAGTTCCTGAACATGGAACCACTAGGTGGCCCAGCTCTAACTCTTGGGCTTACACCTGAAAGACTCCAGGTGAACGCACCCAGAGATACCTGTGTACCCATCGTTATAGTGGCACTAGTCACAACAGCTAGTATATAATGTATACAGAAAACGTAGTACAAGTACAATACTTTTATTCAGCCATAAAGAAAGTAATATTTGCAGCGAAATGGATGCAACTGGAAATTACTGTTAAGCAGAATAAGCCAGACTCAGAAAGACAAATACCCAATGTTTTCTTTCTTATGTGGAATCTAAATTTAAAATTATGTAGCTCATAAAGCTAGAAAAGGGATCACGAGAGAGGAGGAAGAGATCTTAAGGGAGGTGGGAATGAGGGAAGCAGACTGAGATGACAGAGGACTAACATGGGGAAGAAAGGGAAGCAGCTGAGGAGTGAGGGAGGGGAGCTGGGGAGGGGAATGAATAAAAACAAATGTGTGACCATGCCTTGATGAAGCCCTTACTCCTATACATTAACCTAAAAATATTTGTGTTAAAACAAGAAATGATGTGAGGCAGTACTGAGTCTAGCTGAATTCATTCACTCCTCCCAGTAATGCTCAGTGGTGACATTAGACACATTTGCCGCCTATGCAGTAACTGAGTCACCAAGAGAAATTTTGCCAGAGAAATGTTTCTTTTGTAACCAATGTCTGATATTGTCTGGCATCTGATAAAAGTCCCCAAAGTTTTCATAAGTGGTTTGACTAAAATTTTAATAGCCCAATTGTCCATAACTAGCTTTAATGTAGGAAAAAAGAAATCACTGACCATGATGAGACTGAGAAGTGCACACTAATCCACTCTGTCTCAGAAAGGCCACACAATACAGAGAGAAGTCACACTGTAACAGCAGCTTACCTGGGGAGACCACTGCTTCAGGGTCATTCATATCAAAGGCAGCCATGTTCCCTATGGCAAACCCATAGCCCGAGTGGACATCAGGAAGTCCAATAGACCGCTGGAAAAGAACGAGACATGAATCACAGCTGTTCCACTCTGCCCTGTGGCTGTCTGATGGACCCGTCCTTGACTCTGAGTCTCTATTAGTGGGCTACTTGTCTACGGACTCCTGTTCACAATGCTGAATACAGCCAAGGACATCTTTTCAGAGTCTGACTGTCTAATCCCAGCACTCGGGAGGCAGAGCCAGGCGGATCTCTGTGAGTTCGAGGCCAGCCTGGGCTACCAAGTGAGTTCCAGGAAAAGGCGCAAAGCTACACAGAGAAACCCTGTCTCCAAAAACCAAAAACCAAAAAAAAAAACAAGCAAAAAAAAACCCCAGAGTCTGACTGTCAACAGAAGAGCCTCACAGTAGCAGGCTGCTGGAGATCACACCCTAAGGACAGGTGCTGCTACTTTTTTAAACTGTCTTAAGTCACTGGCAAACTGTAGTTGTGCCATGGTCTATAAAAGTCATGAGGAATTTCACAAACGAAATCTATCTGATAACATTAATACAGCACACTTCATACATTTGGGGTCAAGTGAAGGGTGGTATGCCAGACAGAAAAGCCGTCAAATATGGTGAGGACATGGCGACAACTAGAAATGTGAGCTCATAAATATATAAGCCACATCATTTCATCACCACCATGCCACCCACAACGCACAGCACTGTTAACTAGCAGTAAGAAGCCTCATAAAAGTCTGGTAAATGGACCCACTTCTCCACACTCCCCTCCGAAGGTGCAACCTGAGTGACAGGCTAGTGGAGGCCCATTCACACCACCCACTTCCACCCTATTTCCTGTCGTCTAAGGGTCACTGCTACAGTCAAAGGTCACAGTCTAAATGACACCAACATCTATTAGGTGGAGCCCTTCATTCACTCAACAAACTTTACACAGTATCAATGATTAAGGTTCTGACTCTGACTCACATGAACAATCCCGGGCAGGGCTGCCACATTGCCAATCTGCTTCATGGCTGGCAGGAAGCCACCAACACCTGAAAAACAAACAAACAAACAAAACCCCCCAGTCTTAGAAAAAGGACACATTTAATTTCCAGCATTTCTTACATACATGAAGGGCAGTGGTTATGGTTACAGAGTAGGGAAGGATGGTTGAAATCAAAGAGGGGAGGGAACTTCGAGAAGAAAGCACATTCACAGGAAGGACAACTAGACATGCTCGTCAGCCTTCTGTGGACACCACAAGAAGCTGGCTTGCAAATGTAGTAGGGATAGAAAACATTAACCATTAACCTGTATGTTGCCAGTGTAAAATGTACTCTCGCAATAACTCACACTAGTTATTAAAAATATCGACAGTGGGCCTTGAGAGACTGCTCAGTGGTTACAAGCCCTGGCTGCTTTTGCAGAGGACCCAGGTTGGCGTCTCAGCACCCACATGCCACTCACAACCATCTCTATCTGTAACTCCAGTTTTAGGGGCTCAAACTAATCTACCCCAAATCAGCAGTGATGTTACCCGAAAACAAAGAAGGCAAGGGGGAGAGCTGAGAAACGGAACAATGGCTTGAGAGTCAGACAGATGGAGCGCAAGTCCGCAAGTCCAGCTTCATCAACTGCCAGCAGCTGCTTTTTTTGCAAATGTGTGCGTGTGTGTTATGTGGAGGCCACAGGTCAGCATCAGGTATCTTCCTCGATGTCTCTCCACGTTAGTTTAAATTTGTATCTACTCACCGTGTGTATGATGTGTGTGCATGCACAGAGAGGTCACAGGACAGCTCTGCGGAGCCAATTCTAGTCTCCTATCTTTACATGGGTTCGAGGAACTGAACCCAGGTGGTGAGGGCTGTGTAACAAGCTCTCTTTCCATTGAGTCATCTCTCTAGCCCTCCACCTTACTGTTTGAGACCGGGCCTCTCACTGAGTCTGGACCTCAATTATTAGACTGACCAGCCAGCAGGCTCAGGAGATCTGCCTGTCTTCCTTCCCACAGAGGTACTCTGGCACTGGCTTCTCATGGGTACTGGGGACCCCCACCTCATGTTTACACAGCTGGCACTTTCCTCATTGAGCCGTATCACAGCCAACGCCTCTAGCAGTGCCACTTAATACAAGTGAACACATTCAAGTGAGGGAAGAAAGGAACTTTTTTGCTAATCTAAAACACGGAAAGGGCTAAAAGATGCCTTCTAGTCTACCATCACTTAGAGTACCATTTTACAGCACTAAACTGTCCTGTAGCCGTGTGAGATAGGTCTCAATCCTGACGTCCACTAAAGCTAGTACACCAGTCGAGAGTTGGCTTGGGTCCTATCGAAAGGCTTCAAATCCTTGTTAAGAATGCTTGGGTCTTCATGAAAGCCTACTATACCCAAGTTTACCAGGAAAATTGGGTAGGAATGGGTTAATTACCTTCACCCTTTAAAAAATCAGGAGTGCTGATAAAAGTAAAGCTTTGAAAGACTCCAGTTCCAGTCCTTCGCCTACCCATGGCCATCATTAATCACTCCCTGAGTCCACTCAAGATAATCTTGTTGGCTAATTTTAAGCAATCTGTGTTAGATGGTAACATGGCACATCACTGCTATATACTTATCTAAGTACCACTTACAATGTGGCATTAATAAATGTATCCAAGAAGTACACACACACATAAAACAGAGTACTGGTTTTAAAATCAGGCACTCAGATTTGAATTCTGGCTCTGTCACCATGAAGTTGTGACCAAGGACAAATTAAAAGTCACTTAAGCTGGGGCTGGAGAGATGGCTCAGCAGTTAAGAACACTGACTGCTCTTCCAGAGGACTCAGGTTCAATTCCCAGCCCCCACGTGTCAGCTCCCAACTGTCTGTAACTCCAGGGATTCCGACACCGTTACAGACATACATGCAAGCAAAACATCAATGCACATAAAATAAAAATATGAAAAAAGTCACTTTAGCTCACTGAATTTGCACGTCTACAAAAGACAGATAACACCTTCCTTTTTAGTTATTACTAACATGGCACAGACAGTCAATATGGAGTACCTGACACATAGTGAGTGCAGGACCAACAGCAGCACTGGCTACTACTGTGGTTATGTGAGAACAGCTCCAAATCCTTTACACAGCAGCATGTTTAACATGTGACCACAAATAAATAGGTGCTTGGATTCAAGTCTTGATCATTCCTTAAAAGTATTTTACACTGGTTAAGTTCTTTATTCAGGGCACAGGGGAGGCTTTCCCTTACCATATGGAATCTCTAGTGTACTTACCACCACCTCGACAGGCATTCCTTAATTCCTCAAACATCAATTTTTCCAGAGCATCATTCACATAAAATACTCCTTCAACCTGATACAAAAGAAAGGCAAAGAAAACAAAAACATCGTCTAAACCCATCAAGTACAGGTGCAGTGGGCAGAATTATGTACTACATGTAGTGTTTATATTGCATTACTCTGCATCAAACTCCCACATTACTTCTTATAAGAGAAGAACTTTCAATCATAAACTAAAAGATTTTAGAGTATTTCAGATCTGGGTTCAAATTAGGAATGTTCAACCAGTGAAATCTCAGCAACTATCTCCAAATCAGAAAAACTCAAAAATCTACAACACCTCTGGTTATGAACATTTAAGATAGGGACATTCAACCTGCTACTTCCGTGCTCACAAATTTCTGAGGAGGTACGTCTATTATGATTTTGCTATTTTGTAACTTACACATTATAAAAAACACCACATGGTCCTAAATAATGTATAATCTTCATGTGTCAAATAAAAAATTAGCAAGTGAATCTACTAACCAACTTATCCTCCCCCCAAAAAAATAAAGGGAAAATACCATTGTTTTTTGCTGCAGACTTTTTCTTTCCAGTATCTTGCCAAGTGATGTGGGGCTCAAAGACATTTGATAAGTTTTGCCTAGTGTCAAGTTAAAGGAATGGCTAAAAGGAAATTTTGTGATTTTTGAGAGAGTCTTTCTTAAGTTGCTCTGGCTGGCCTCGTATGTATCCTAGACTGTCCGCTGACACAGTAGTATCCGCTAATAGGAACTTCCACCCTCAGCCTCCAGTGCTGGGATTACAGGCCTGAGCTACCATGCAAGGCCTAACAGAAACTTTTTACCAAGACAAAGGACGGCAAACTTTTATTGCATTCGCATGGCACTTAAGGGATTGAGTCACTTAACACACGTGTCAAAACCTTACAAGTGTTTTCTTCCTCTACTTTAACGGAAGCCAAGAGCACAAACGCCCATGGACACAGAGAGGGCAGGCCCAGGGTTTCAGCCCCTGGTCTCCTGCTCCCAAAACTTCAGCTGAAACACATCATCCAGGCAGAGAAAAAGAAGGGGACTGGACATGGAGTCAGGGCTGTCTTCCCAGATGGGTACGTACAGACGAGTCCTAGGGGCCCTTCGCGAGGAGCATAGTAAGAGGCCGAATCTTGCCGCTTGTCGCTATATTAAAAGCCAGTTAAAGTCTGGGGAATCCCGCCTGTAAACGTTATCTACGTGACTACCGTGACTCAAGGGGAACGGAGTTGCAGGCTAACAGTGCCACCTTGGAGAAGACCGCAGTATCTCGGAAGACGGTGCGTGGGGCAAACACGCGTGTGCGGACCTGTCGCGCGGGGACAGGCGGCGCGAGCCGGGGAGGGAGACGCGGCCCCTGCGGGGGTCGGCCCGGCGGGCGCGGGGCGGAGGAAGCCGGTTCGCGGCGGCAGCGCGGCCCGCAGCCCCGAAGGCCGCGGCCCCGCTCACCTGCATGTTGGGCACGAAGCCCTTCTTGATCCTCCAGCAGTTTTTATTGATCTTGTCCAAGAACTGCAGCTCATCGTTGTAGTTGCGACTCATGGTGGCGGCAGCTCGCGACTGGGCTCGGAAAGAGAAGCCGCCGCGTTGTCTACCGGCGCCGCGGAGCCGCCTCTGAGGACTCAGGGCGCACGCGCGTCCCGCTCCGCCGCGGGAGGGAGGAAGGCAAGCGCCGAGGCTCAAAACTCGTCGCGCAAATCGCGGTCCTCTCGTTAAGATGTCTTCTATGAACTAAAGCTGAACCACATTGTTTTTAGTGAGATCTGGCTAACTACCCTTCTGGTAAATAAAAAAATAAAAAATAATTTTTTTTTAAAGGTAAGGTCTCAGTATTTAGCCTTGCCGAGCCTGGAACTCACTATGACTTGCTGGAACATGCTGGCCTCGAACTTCGTAAGATCCACTTGCTTATTGCTGCTGCGAATAAAGGCGTGCTTGGAAATGTTTTTAAGCAGTCCCCGAAAACCCTTGAATCTGGATCAGGTCAACTGCTCTAGGGAATACATAGCTTGTAGTTCACAGCCCCACTAGTGAAGCAGCTGAGCTAGACAAAATACTAATGAGCAGCAAGCACATTTGACTTGCAATGTTTCAGGATGGAACTGTGGACACAGAACAAACATTTTCTGTTACAAATGCCTGCCCTGCAATGCCCTGCAAAGGTGAATAAATTACAGCTGCTGTGAATCGCTGGGGTTCTTAGCCTAGCTTTGTTTGGAGTAAGCCTCCTGTGGTTGTGCCTTTAAACACACTCGACTCCCACTCCGGTGCAATAAGAGAACTTGCACTGATTTGTTTCTAGTCCCGTTTCCTGTGAAGAAAAGCACAGTAGCTATCAGGAAGACTTGGGCTCAATTTCCACCTATGCCATTACCAACCTCTGTGTGATAAATTCCTCTTAACCTCTGTTTTCTCATCGATGAAATGGGATCATAATTCTCCATAGAGTGGCTGTGAAGGTCACAGGAATGAAGCTGGGGGAACAACCAGACCAGGGCTTTACGTACTTAACAGTTCTCTTCTATCCCCCCAATAACCTAAGCAGTAGACAAGCAGAGGGTGTGGTTTCTGTTCACTTTTACATACCCATCCTGGCTCTCCCATCCTCTCCCAGCTGTGAACCATCCAGCTTTAGTAAGCTGCACTGCCATTTCTGTTCAATCCTTGAGAGGACACATCCTCAAACAAACAACACAGGATGATCACAGGGAGACTTAAGAAGCTAGCAACTCCCTTTTAATATTGATATTTGCAGAACATCAGTCTTTGCCAAAGTTAAAAACAAGTCTTTTCCGTTTTTTGTCATATTTTATTAAAATAAATTCAGGACAGGAGCTTTCACACACAGAGACTGACATTGATAGAAAACAATTTTAATTAAGCACAGGGAAGTAATAGTAAACATAAAACACAAAATCCAGCTAAAGAAGAAAGTCTCTGAAAAGCTGACATGATACACACACACACACACACACACACACACACACACACACACACACACACACCCCTGGTCAGATCTACATCCTCACTCTTATCCACAGGTTATAAACAGGCACACAACATGGTTACATACTGACATACATATTCCCTCCTCCCACTGCCCACACACACACACACACACACACACACACACACACACACACACACACACACACACACACCCCTGGTCAGATCTACATCCTCCCTCTTATCCACAGGTTATAAACAGGCACACAACATGGTTACATACTGACATACATATTCCCTCCTCCCACTGCCCACACACACACACACACACACACACACACACACACACACACACACACCCATGGTCAGATCTACATCTTATCCACAGGTTATAAACAGGCACACAACATGGTTACATATTGACATACATATTCCCTCCTCCCACTGCCCACACACACACACACACACACACACACACACACACACACACACACACACACCCCTGGTCAGATCTACATCTTATCCACAGGTTATAAACAGGCACACAACATGGTTACATATTGACATACATATTCCCTCCTCCCACTGCCTCATCCCTCTTCGGCCCTTTAACTCAGCTGGCCTCCTCACTCTAGGTCTCTTAGGGCTCCAGAGAGAAACTATTTCACATGGGCTTTTTTATGTCCAGGGTGCATGGCCTTCACCTTCAGGCTTACAGTTTCCATGGGACCCAAGGTTGTTTACTTCCTGGAGGGTTTTGTGAACTGGCAATCAATGGGTTGGCTGTTCTCTCCATGGTCCGTTTACCAGGTTCAGACCTCCCCAGCTGTGGAGATTTGGCTGTTGTTTTGAGGATGTTTCATGTGTCAGGTCAGTAGAAATCAGAAGGAAATCCTGAAAGTATGCAGAATGGAGACAATATTAAATGAAGGGCATATCTGGGTTTGCCGGGGGGTTGGAAAGTTTCTTTGCCAGGCCCTAAGGCATCAAGACTTTCCTGCCACCTGTACCCTATGGGAGGGCCCCTGATGCAAAAAGAGGCCATTCTGGATCACTGCCGCTACATATGACTTAGGTAGAAGGGAGTGGAGAAGAGGAAGGCTGGGAGGTAAGAGGAAGTATGCAGTAGTGGGTAGGTGGGAAATGCTTTCTGAAAATCGTTTCTGCTTTCCAAACCACAACAACAAAATGCAGAAAAGAAGGGGTGACAGTATCGTGAAGTTACTTAATAACCATCTTCCAGGAAACAGCGTTCACTAGGGCCCAAATCCTGACATTGGTTGAAAGCATCAAGAAGCCAGTCAGCAGGGTTCTTAGCTGGGGTGGTGTCAATGCAAACTATCCCTCAGCCTCATGTGTTTAGAAACTTGGTCACCAGCTCATGACACTGCTTTGGAAGGTTGTGGAACCTACGAGGTGAGATCTTGTTGAAGGAAGTGTCTGGAGGTTTTATGGTACACTGCTTCCTAACTTCCATGAAATGTGACCAGGTCTCTCATGTTTCTGCTGCCACACCTTTTCCTGTGGTAGTGGACTGTATCCCTTGGAGCTGTAAGCCAAACAACCCCTTTCTCTGTTATGTTATATCCTGCCAGGACACAGCAACAGGAGAAGTAACTAATATACCAGCCATTTTCCTTTCTACCTAAGACACTAAACTTCTCTGGGTCTACTTTCCTCAGAAAATGGGATTAATGATCTCAGCCTTACAGTTTGTCTGGTGAACTAAAAATACTTTTAGAAGTGTTTTCTTATACTGTGGAGTGGTTAAATGTGACTTCAAAGTGAAATTAGACTTGGTCTGACTTTTAAATTTTTCATTGTTAATTATAAGCTTTAATAGCTGGATGGTCTGTTTATTAAACTCCTTGGTCTGGTAAAATTTGAAGGAAAGCAAAATAAAACATAATGAGGGGATGGAGAGATGGCTGTGTGGATAAGAGAACTCCCTGTTCCTGCAGAGGACCTGGGTTTGATTTCTAGTACCTACATGGTGTGACTCATGATTGGCTGTAACTCCAGTTCCAGGGGATCTGATGTGGCACCAGGATGAATATGGCATACATACACACACTCATGCACACACATATCCACATGAAATAAATAGCAAATAAATCTTTAAAAAATAAGTGATGAACAAAACAGGAAGCTTGTCTACTATGAAAATAAATAGGGAAGTCGAGAATTCAGAATCTTACCTCAAGAACTTGAATGTCTGAATTGACAAATGAGATGTTGTAGGGGTTGGGGAGAGGAAATCCTTGCTGCAGTTTTGCTACAATGTAGAAAAAAGGTGGAAGGTAATTGGGCATGAGCATTGACTTTTTTTTTTTGAGGGGGGGACAGGTGTTTTAGAAAGAGATGAACTAGAAGCTTTTTAATAGTTTATCTTATTGTTGTTCCTGGTCTTGTTTTAATTCAAAGTGATCTGTCCCTAGCATTTTGCTGGATGAATTAGTAATTAATTTATATTCAGTAAAAATGTGCCTGTAATTATGTATATTTGGATACTAAACGAAATAAAACAAAACTTTCCATTTTCTCCCATTTAAGTACTAACCATGCCTGACTATGCTTTTCATTTTCGACACAGCCATAAAAGACGTATTTATAATAGTGGGTGTACTGCGTGTATGCGTGTGTGTGTGTGTACAAGCATGTGTGTGAACATGTGTGTGAAGGACAGAGGATAACCTCAGCATCATTCCTCACTTTCATCCACCTTGGTTTATTGTTGCTTTTGAGATGGGGGGGTCTCATTGACCTGAAACTCCCAAGTAGACTAGGCTGGCCAGTGAGCCCCAGGGATCCACCTGTCTCTGCCTCCATCAGCACTGAGATTGTAAGTATGTTACATTGTGCCCAGCATTTTAAAAAATGGGGGAGGGGCATTACTGGAGGATTGAATTCAGGTCTTCGTGCTTTTAAGGAAAAAATTTGCCAACTAAACTATTAGTCTAGCCCATTATTTTGAAAATTCCTAATTTGTAGACTTGGAAACATTTTGTGTCTAATACAAAAAACATTTTAACTGAGCCAAACTCCAGATGCTTTGGTTTGTAAGTCATTGTGGATGAGGGAGAGAAGCAGGACTGTCATTCATTAAAATGTGTCTTTCCAGACAGTAATCCCAGGGAACATTATATCATTTCTAGTTGACCTGAAGAAGATTTTACTGTCTAAGGACAGGAGTTTTGTCTCTTTAACTCAAGGCAAGGTAGCCTTTCTTGCTGAATGTGTAAATAGCGTTGTTAGCAAGCTTACACCTGTTAACTGGTTTCTTCAGCTCTTAATACTGTACACTGCAAAGTTCTGGTTCTGACCCAAATTCACAATAACACTCTAAACATACAGGCACCAGAAGAGAAAGTTCCAAACAAAACCGCAAGTGCAACCAACCCCAGAGTCCCATAGTTTTTTAAAGAATTCCTTACTATTAGCCAGTGGGAGGACTCCAAAGTGAAGAATGGAAGACAGGATATTCTCAAACCTCACGACCTAAAATGAAAAAGCAGACTTCATCGGTTGCCACATCAGATCCCTGAAAGCATCATGCCTGGTTTGGGTGTGCAAGTCCCCAGGACTCAGCTGGATAGAAAGCCATGTCTGGAGTTTCCCTGTGGGAACGTGCTAGCTTTGTGGAAAGCCATGCCACACGGGCTCTTCTCTCCCTGGTGGGAGAGCGCTTGTGTTTCCTTTTACACTGGTGATAATGAACAGAGACCCAGGACGGTAGCAAATGTACCGGTTTCGGTCAGACCAGGCAAACTGGAGAGCTAAGGGGTTCCCCAGTTGTCAGTCTTCCCTGGGCTTACTGGGAACCTCACCCCAGGGCCTCCCTTTGCATTGCATCATCCTCCAAACTTCACAGCATCACCAGGACACCCACTTTATCTTGAGTAAACTGGTATTTGGATATCCTAGGCAGTGTTGCTCTCTGGAACGATCCAGGTATTAAAAGCAAATGGAGGTGGAGGAGGTGGCTCAGTAGTTAAGAGCACATACCGTTCTTTTAGAGGACAGGAGTGCACTTCCCACCACCCATATCGGGTAGTTCACAACTGCCTGTAATTCCAGCTCCAGGGGATCTGATACCCTCTTCAGGACTTTGTGGGTACAGCACTCACACATGCAGATAAACACACACACACACACACACACACAAATAAATCTTGAAAACGTAAATGGACCTGGATGAATGGAAACTCATTTAGTAAATACCTTTTTATTTTTTGGCTGGGATAGGGTCTCACTATATAACCTCAGACTTGGGAGTCCTCATGTAGCCTAGGCTGGCTCTGAACTCATGTTCTTATTGGTTTACCCTTTCCTAATGCTGGGATTACAGGTGTTTGCCACCACACCTGGATCAGCGAAAACTTTTTGGGCATCCTGAAGTCAGTCTAGGATGTCTAGGCTTCTCTCTCTTGTTTTATTTTCCTCCAGTTATTTTGTTGTATTGGAAGAATTATTCAATCTTCCAGGGCCTCAATTCCAACAACTATAAGATGAAGACAATAATAATCATGACCATAATCACCACCACCATCATCACCACCATCATCATCATCACCATCACTACCATCATCATCACCACCACCATCATCATCACCACCATCATCACCACCACCACCATCATCACCATCATCATCACCACCACCACCATCATCACCACCATCATCATCACCACCACCATCATCACCACCATCACTACCATCATCATCACCACCACCATCATCACTATCACCATCATCATTATCACTATCACCATCATCATTATCACTATCACCGTCATCATTATCACTATCACCATCATCATCATCATCACCACCATCATTATCATCACCATCACTACCATCATTATCACCACCACCATCATCATCATCACCATCATTATCATCACCATCACTACCACCATCATCATCACTATCACCATCATCATCATCATCATCACCACCACCACCACCATCATCACCACCATCATCACCACCATCATCACCACCATCACTACCATCATCATCATCACTATCACCATCATCATCATCATCATCACCACCACCACCACCATCATCACCACCATCACTACCATCATCATCATCACTATCACCATCATCATCATCATCATCATCACCACCACCATCATCATCACCACCATCACTACCATCATCATCATCACTATCACCATCATCATCATCATCATCACCACCACCACCATCATCATCACCACTGCCATCATCACCACCACCATCGCCATCATTACCATCATCATCACCACTATCATCATCATCTCTACCATCATCACCACCACCACCATCATCATCATCACCACCACCATCATCATTATCAGGAGATTGTCATAGATTGTCAGAATTAGACAAGTTAATACTGTGCAAATGCTAGGGAAGAACCATTGCCATTTTTCTGAAATGCCATGGTCAGTACATTGTGTTATCAATGCTAGGCATTTCGATGGGATTACAGATGTGCATCACCACACTCAACTTTGATACTGGCATGTCAGACTTCAGAGACTGGCATGAAAGGTATGTCTTAAATTCCAGTGTATGGACTATATTGCTCCTGAATCCTAATCTCAGAATTCTCCTTGCAATGAAACATCTATTTTGGCCTCAGCTAAATTCGCTGACTTGACTAACATCCCCAGACTTGGTCCTGTCTTTTTTTTTTAATTATTTAAAAAAAATTGTGTGCATTTTTTTTTTTTTGGCCTACATGTACATCTGTGTGAGGGTGCCAGATCCCCTGGAACTGGAGTTATAGACAGCTATGAGCTGCCATGTAGGTGCTGGGAACTGAACCTCTGAAAGAACAGCTGGTGCTCTTAACCTCTGAGCCATCTCTCCAGTCCCCTGGCCCTGTCTTACTGCCACCTTTCTGTTGGATGTGGCAACAATGAATTCAGTCCTTGTCATCTCCCATGCACTGCCTCTGGAGAGCTAAGTGACCTGTCTAAGAACACACCGCCAGTAAGTGGGACTTCACTCTTGCAGTCTGGCCTCAGAATTAATGTATGAAACTATTATGCTTATTCTCCACTTACACAGACAAACGAACCAGTTCTCATAAGTGCAGGAACAATGGCCACCATTTACTTACTACCTACCACCTACCACTGTAGATGTGTTGAGTGAATTGGGCTTCAGCAGATCTTCTCAATAACTCTGAGTGATCTCTAGCTCCATACCTGCTCCAATTGCCGATTCCTATTTTTCTAAATTATTTTCAATACATGCACTGTATATTTGTTCACTATTTGCACTCTCAACTGGCTGCAAAAGTGTATATATATATATATATATATATATATATATATATATATATATTCACATATTCTAAGACTGGGTTCCATATAGCAGCCCTATTGATACTTTGGGAAGGATGTTTTTTTTTTGTGTGTTTGGGGGCTGGCTGGTGTGCTATGGGAAGCTTAGAAACATTTCTGACATCTGTCCCTATGTCGCCCTTCTCCCCATCCCAGGTCATGAGAGCCGTGGTCCCTAAAGGGCTAAGTGGACCCCAGAGGAGAATCACTGCAGAGAATTTTAGTGCCATGAGGGGGAACATTTTTGTCTTGAACATTGCTATGCTCAGTAAGAAGTTGTAAATGACAGAATGACATTAAGAACCAAAGTTCACATATAGCTGAGCATGTGCTAGGTAGAGTTCTACCCAGGAGTTTTGATACCAAAATCCGTGTGATTCCACCCTCTACGATAGCACCAATTGTGAACAAAGAAAGGCATGGACTTGGCTGACCTTTTTGACGTCTAGGAGTCTGGACATTCCAAGTTACTTGTTGGGGTGTGTAGGGATTTGAATGAGAAATGTCTCCCACAGGCTTGTGCATTTGAACACTGGTTCCCCTGTTGGTGGTGCTGTTTGGAGGTTATGGATCCCTCTAAGTCTGGCTGGAGGAAGTATGTCACAGGGGGCGGGCTTTGAGAGTTTATAGCTTCACCCTATTTATTTCTTGCTTATTCGCTCTACTTCCTGTGTGTGTATGGAAATGTGCCTCTGCTGCCGGACCATGACATCCCTGCTCTTATGCACCCCTCTCTGAAACCATAAGCCAAAACGAACCTTCCTTCTATAAGTTGCTTTTGGCCATGGTGTTTTATTACAGCAACAGAAAAGAAGCTAAGACAACATGTCTACTCCCAAGCTGGATGTGGGCTGGGTGCCTTTGAAGAATGCACTTAACTATGGAATTCTGAAACTTAAATTTAACTCTAGAGGATCATTTCATCTAGGAATCAACCCCCCTCCCCCACATGAGAATGCCCAGCTTTCTAGCATCACACACAGTCTTTCCAGTTCTTTTGCAAGCCCTGTAATATAAGTAAAAGTATATTGCTAAGCTAATGGGCTTGATAAATGAGTACCATGAAAGCTCCAGGTTCAATCCCCTGTACTGCAAAATCAACCAAACTCATGAACAAGAAAAAAAATTCAAAGCTAAAACTATGGAGAAATCAAGGACTCGGAGACACAGAAAACCACACACACAGGCTGCAGTACAACAGAATTCTGTTTCTTGTGCCTTTTTCGGGGCACCTCGAGAGCTTGTATTCCTCCTACCTTAGCATCTCTGTGGCTGTTCTCTGGCAAAGTGAGGCGGAATCTGAAAGGAAACAGGAAGAGGTTAAAGGAAGGCAGATTTATAGGGGTGGAGAGATGGTTCAGCACTTAAGAGTTAAGAGCAGTTTTTGCTCTTGCAGAGGACCAGGGGTCAGTTCCCAGTCTCCCACATGGTGACTCCCAACCAGTCTGGTCTACAGAGCAAGTTCCAGGACAGCCAGGGAAAGAAACCCTGTCTCAAAACATAAACAAAAACAAATAAACAAACAAAAAAGAAACAACAACAAAATAATATGAAACAACACAACAAAAAACGAAAAGTACATTTCTCTTTCTCTCTCTCTCGATAAAAACAAATCACTACTGAAAAATCCACATATAGCCGGCCTCCCATAGATAATGTGGTAAAAGGCTCAGCACTGTGCCTACCGTATTCTTACTGCACTACACAAATGTGACCCTTCAATGGTGAGCAGATGCCCAAGGCCAGGGCATAACTTTCCTGCTGCTCTACTCCTTGTCAAATATCAAGACATCAGAATTGTCTCCCAGTTTTGCTAAGGGCTCTTCCTGAGATACAAGCTTCACTTTTTGTATCCAATGGTAGGGGAGATATGAAGAAATAATAATTAGTGGGGAAGACACGTTCATTTTGAAGAAGGAAAAACTGAAGTCAAAAGGGAGCAAACAGCAGACTTGGGATAAAAACCCAGACACCCCCAACCCCCGACACACACCTCAAGACAAGATCTTTTTATGAAGCCCAAGCTGGTCCTGAACTCCTCAGCCTCCCAGTGCTGGGATTGCTTCCATGTACCAATATTCCTGGCTAGAACCCAGTTCTCTCGACGTCCATCTCGTCTTGCATCTTCTTAGCTTTCTGTGGCTCACTTTTGCCCAGATCTGAGCCTCATATCTATTTCAGCTTTCTCCTGAACTCACCTGTCTCTAGACTTTACCTTCTTCAGTCCGTCTTCTGTGCCACATCGAGGGTAAACTGTGTTATGGACATGTCTGATGAGGACACTACCCTGACCAAAATTCTTTTTTTTTTTTTTTTTTTTTTTTTTTTTGGTTTTTCGAGACAGGGTTTCTCTGTGTAGCTTTGCGCCTTTCCTGGAACTCACTTGGTAGCCCAGGCTGGCCTCGAACTCACAGAGATCCGCCTGGCTCTGCCTCCCGAGTGCTGGGATTAAAGGCGTGCGCCACCACCGCCCGACAAAATTCTTTAGTGGCTGTAATAAAGCCCAAGTCACTTGCATGGAACATGAGACTTCCTTCTACCTTGGCTCCCAGTTGCCTCTTCAGTATCAACTATTTATTCTTTTGAGTCTTTAATTTTGTCCTCATTAACATCGAACTGTGGGATGTGATGCTATTTTATTCACCAGGCATTATAGAATTAAGGTTTAAAAAGGTATTGGTACCAAATGCATACCCAAAAATTCTGAAAAAAATACACATTCACATAAACTAACATTATGGCCACTGGTCAATGCAATTTAACATCCATAGTGAGATGTTTTTAATGTTGGCTGCATTTGAATATATGTAATGTACTGGCAGAGTCTCCGAACACTAGAGGGGCTGAGGAAGATCTTATACCTGAGGTATTTCCTTTCCTTACACATTTCATGATGTTTTTGGCTTCTCTGTCATTACTCAGGATGTTTCCTGTTTTAGGACTGGGTCCTTTATCTTTCTCTTTCATTGGTTAACTTTTACTTTTTAAAATTATAACATTAATTATTATTGTTACTTTTATTATTATTATTATTATTATTATTATTATTATTATTATTATTATTAGTGTGTGTGTGTGTGTGTGTGTGTGTGTGTGTGTCTATTTTGAGGTTGGAGGTCAACTGTTGGGAGCTGGTTCTCCCCTTCCACAGTGGTTTCTGGGGATTGAACTCAGGTCCTCAGGCTTCCAGAGCAAGCACCCGATGAACCATATTGTTGGACTGGTCAGCTCTTTTGAATATCTTCTCTGCTACGTCTTCTGAGAATCTTTCTGTGACTACATTTAAAAAAGCAGATTCTCAAGGAGGTATCAACTGATTATCAGCTAATATCATGTTAGTAGAAATTAGGTGTGAGATAGCTTCAAACTCATACATAACAATAAAAATCTGAAAACCTCTTAAATCTGGCATGGGTCAGAGATCATGTCACTGGCATTGGTCCTGGAGGATTCACGGGGCATCTTTAAAGTCTCTGCTGAGGAGATAGGAGGGAAGCGCTGCCCCCTGACCACACTGTCTCTTAGAATAGGCAAACCCACTCTGGTGTCGAAATCATGTTGGAACACATAAATCTCCTTTCTTTCCTGAAGCCATGTGCGGACATGCCAGGAGCACCAGCTAATGACAGCACGTGTCTGGAAACATGTAAGTTGGGCTACCTCAACTTCTCTCACACGCTCACAGCTTCCTTTGCTAGTGGATTCTTGTCTCTAGCTGCAGAGACACTGGGAAGACAAAACCACTGTCCTGGCTCTGAAAAAGACAATCCCAACTCAGACCATGAGGTGATGCCTGGCTTTGGGCTTTGAACTATCTTCTATTGACTCTCTCATCTGATATTAAAGTGCAGCTACTGAGAACAAACTCTCACTGCAGGGCCAAGGAGTTGTTGGGAAGGAAGTGAGCTCAATCTTGGGCTGGAGGTGAGACAGAGTGACAACGTCACGTAGTATGCCTGTGTAACTGAGTTGCACCCCTAGACACACACACACACACACACACACACGCACGCACGCACGCACGCACGCACGCGGGTACATGGATAATATAGCCCATTCAAAAAGTTCTAGAGAAAGTGTATTGCCTAGATTGAAAACCAGAGTAAAACTGCAAACTCTTAAGCATAATGAAAGGTCATTTGTGATCTGGGTCAATGTGGTGAGATCGGCATAGGAAAAGCCAAGAGGCAAGGTCAAGTGCAGAGCTCCTAACAAAATCACCCCTTCAACCGTGTGCCAAGGGAAACAAGGAAAATCAGTGCTACTACCCAATGCCCTATGTCCTGTTTCTGTCTCAGTCTGAAACCAAGAACTTCTTAGGGGGTGAGATCCAGTCTTAATGATTGTATCTTAGTGCTGAGTACATATCTCAGTACATCCCAGCACTAATCATGACTTCATCTGCCTACTCAGAAGATGTTTCTTGAGCACCTAACACATGTCAGTTAAGGGGCAGGTGCTGGAGATGACTGTGGTAACAATCAGACTCAGCTAGAGTTCTCAGAGAGCTCACAGCCTGGTGGGAGGTGGGGCATTATCAAAGAATCCAACGATTAAAGTTTAATTACAAATTGAGACAAACGCTCGGAAGACAAGAAACAAGTCATCGAGTCATGTGACAGAGGCACTTGACCTGGCTTGGTAGATGTATGAAGGTTCCCAAGGGAAGACCCTTGAGCTGAAACAGCAGGCGTGAATAGAATTTAAAAGGAAAACTGGAAGGAAGAGGGAGGGGGCCTGGCAGAGGCCCCTTGAGGGAACAGAGCCACAGCTAACGGCACTGGAGAGGCAGGCGAGGCTGCCCAGACTAGGCGACCTCACCATGTGGAATTTGATCTTTAGTCTAGGAACAAAGAATCCATGGAAGGTTTTGAAGATGAAAGATGACGGCTATGGCATGGAGAGACAACTGATGGCCAAGAGCTTCTCAGGTGCTCACCATGCTCAGCCATGTGAAGAATTTAATTTAAATGTGATGATATAATGTGGACACCGATGTTCTTCTGTGAGTTTACAAGGGTGCATGTGTGTGAGAGAGAAGTGGGCATGGGAGAAGGCATTCGTGGGGCAAAACAAGTTGTCCTTTGAGGGAAGCGTTCCATATGCACCTCTAGAAGGACACTTCACACCCACTAATCGCCTGTTCCTCTCCCAGCCTAGGTAGGGACCATTGCCCTTCTCTCTGTTCTCTGAACCAAGAGCAGTACAAGGCACAAAATAAGTGCTCAAGAAATCCTTGCTGACTGCATGCAGAGACAGAGGAGTAGACAAAGGGGGTGGGTGGGGAGTACTAGCTGGGACAGGGGATCCCTTTGAGATTGAAGGAATCTAAAGGAAGTTCTAGGAAGATGGGGAAGCCAGGGTGGGGGACACCAGGGTTGGGGGTTTGGAAGCCAGGCCCAGTAGTTGAAGACCGTACAAGCCAGAGCACGGTGCTTTCCTCCACGCTTTGGGCTCCCCTCTTTCTCTGACCCTCCTTCCCATGTTTGTCATTGTGCTTCTGCTTCTCTGGGGCTGACCTCCTAGCAGAGATCAAACAGCTTGGCTTTTTTCCCTTTCCTCCTTTGGGAAGCTGCTGAGATTTACAGCTTGTCTGCTCCAGGGTCTTCCTTTTAAACTCTAATACAGTTGCCCTTGAACCTAAAGCTAAGCTAAACCAAAAAAAAAAAAAAAAAAAAAAAAAGAAAGAAAGAAAGAAAGAAACAAGAAACCACCCACCAGGCTGTGGGTGTGACCTTCAGTTACAGGTTTTGTGGGAGAAATGCCCTCTTAAGAATTAAGAATTCCCCAGTGATGTAACCGTAGTTCCTCCTCGGTGGCCTGGAAATTCTCCGGAGAAGGATCTGTATAGAGTTTCCTCCTTTGCCAAGAATCCAAAAGCACCCTAACGATAGAAACTGCAGACACATTCTATCTGGACATGTGTTCCTGATGCCTCATGTTGGGAAATATTTACCTGCCCAGCCTGTGAGGAGGAGAGCATTTGTGTTTTCTGACTACATTGCTTGGGAGGGGCTGTAGGGTGTGTGTGTGTGTGTGTGTGTGTGTGTGTGTGTGTGTGTGTGTGTGTGTGTGTGTTGATGAGTAGGGCATTTGGGAATGTCCAGAGTCTTCATTATAGAAAAGTTAAAAATTGTTCCAAAGTTAAGTGAATCAACAATAATGTACATTTGATTACCTCAAGGTGTTTTGTATATGTGTGAACACATTCCCTATGTGTGTACATGTGTGTGTGTGCATGCGTGCTCACATGTTGAAGGCCAGAGGTCAGTGGTGGTTGCACTCCTCTGTCACTCTCC